GTGAGGACAGTGACCTGTGGGCACACAACAGACCACGCACCCCTGGGGAACAAGGAGTCCTCTTTCCAAAGAATAAGCTCACTGAGAGATTGATTCCGTGTGCTGTTTCCAGTGCTTATCTGAAGAAAGGTGGAACCTTTCCTTTGTTTAATGGCCAGTGTTACATTTGTCCTTTGGTAACTTTTTCTGTTTAAGAATGTGGAGTATCAGGTGAAAGTTAGTCATTTGCCCCTTTAATTTTGTACAAACAAGTGTGCAGATGTTGAACTGATTCATTTTTATGAATAGAATATTTGTGCATGTTTTTTTCACCTGAATGTCCATACACATTGTTTTTGTAAGGCTACAATATTTGTGTTGTCACATCTCGAATCACCAATAATTCCAGGTAAAAGTAATTTATTTTCCATTGTGGTCAGTGGTAAGACAATTAGCATGGTCTAATAATGTAAAGTGCTTGCCCCTAGAATTTCTCTACACATCTTCAAAAATCCACCCCTCAACGAACGAAACAAACCCCAAGAAACACTAACCCCCAAAGCCATAAAGGGTCTTATTTTGGTTTATTTCTGGGTGCCCCCTAAGAACAGCCCCACTGCAAGCGACTGAACATTGAGTTCTTTAGCAAGCCAGAGCACTCTTTCCCATGCTTAGATGTTCCAAAGTATATATATATATGTGTGTGTGTGTGAGCTGTGCCCTTGGGTCAGATGGCTACAGACTGCACAGTACCTGAAAACCTAATTCAATTGTCTGCAGCCTTGCCCCTGCTGGAATCATCCTGGGAAGGAATTCTTGCCACTTGTGATACAGTACAGTAGTACAGTACTGTTCTACAGTAGTGTTGTGGTTTTAAAGCAGTAACTAAAAAATTACTAGAAAACTTACTTATTTCTTGCTGTGAGATATGGATTAGAACAAGAGCAAAACAGGCTTAAAACTTAAAAGGAATAAAGAAAGTTTATTAACAGAACTACAAGAAAAAGAACACCAGAATAACTTCCAGAAAACCTCTTTCTCCCCCACTACTCAAAAATTCCCTTGTTCACATACAACCTAGGGACAAAAAACTTGGAACTTTGGTGTTTAAATCAGTCCCAATTGTTATTAGAGTCTTTTCATCAGTCTTTGCAGAGAAACAGAAGTCTTCTTCTGCTAATCTATGGAGTTTTTCACAAGAAAACTATTTCTGTTATAGCTTTCTATTTCTCTGATGCCAGCTGCCCAGAAAAAAAAAATCTGTCATCCGTCCACTCCTCTCATTTCACCTCACTCTGAGGTGTGTTATGGGCCATGAGTCTAGGAATGTTATTTTTAAGGATGAGTTACTCAAAGGCAAAAGTTCTCTTCATCTGTCTCTGTGAGCTTCTCTGGAAACAGAAGTTTTCTCATTGCCTCTCAAGGCCTCAAATCTTCAACTATTACTTCGCCTTACTCTGTTTCAGCACCTCACTGCATCACAATTATTCCACCTTTTGCTCAAAATCCACACTTTGAACACTCTATTCCTCCCAATATACTCTGTCATGAATTAAAGGAGTTTTTTCAGGACACTATTGTCCATCTCCATAACTTTAACAGAAAAATATTTCAGCTTAATTAAAGCATCTCCTTATTCTCTAGCTCTTCTGAAGCTTAATTCTTTTCTTTACTGTCTCTGATAGTTTATAACGTCTCTTTACATGTTGATTACTCTCTTTTTCTCTCTCTGGATAAAAGGGTTAATCTGCAAGTCTCATCTGAGTAATGAAAGGCTTAAAATCTTGCCCAGGCTTTGTAGATGGTTCTGTGATCTCTGTCGGAGCAGCAGCTGCAGAGTTGCAGAATTGGCTTCTTAACTAAAACCTGCCAATTCTGGCTTTTTACAACAAAACACACAAGAAGCAGAGGGACGTAGTCCCCTCCAAACAGGAGCCTTTCAGCTCTGCACAAAACCCCATGTAGACAAATGAATTAAATCCTCAAATTCATTTACTACAATTTCTACAATTCTCTCACAGAAAGATGCATTCAAACTTCGGAACCTACAGAAGAAACCACAATTTTCACAACTCTCTTGAACAATCAAAAAATCCTTCTGACATTTTTTCCCCTTTCAGGGATAAAAATTAAGGTGGATCGAGAGGCGCCTGTGTTTACTAGGACACACACCTCCTCTCGATCCAGACCCACTTTAAAAGTCACCAAAGGCTCCAGGTTGGTGGATCCCTGGTACAATGGGGGCCCTTGACACTCTTAGCAATCCATTTCCATTATCCTCTGGACTTACTCTTCCTGAGGGTCCTGCTGTTTCTGCAGACATTGCCGTTCCCAGTGTCCCTCTGCCCTGCAGGACAGCACACTGATTCTTTCCCAACTGCTGTTTGGGTTGGGTGTCCCCTGCCGGGGAGAGAACGCCTCTGCCACTTCCTTGTGGCCGACCCCATCCCCTCTGTCCTGGGAGACCTCTTGGACCCTGCGCTTTTTCCCTCTTGGGCTGGAAAAATTCTGCCAGCACCTTCACCTTTCCTCCTTGTGCTCACTCTATTTACCACACACCGTATACCAGAGCTAGTCTCTGTCCTGCCACATTGTCCAAGCAGCTCCTTCCCACTCCGGCGCTCCCGGTGCGCACAGCTGGCAGCACCACAGGCGGCCTCACGGGGCCGGTGGCCACTGGCACCCCTGCCCGGGGCTGGTGTGGTCAGGCACTGCCTGGTGCTGAGTCCTGGCAGCCCCACAGGCCCCCAGCCTGTGCTCCCACACCTCCACGCCTGGTCCTGCTGCTCCTTGCCTCAACCATATCTCTCCACACTCCCCTTTAACCAATTCTGTTCCAACACACCAACACGATCCGTCCATCCCCTGTTGTCAAGACTCCTTTCTGACTCCCCTTATTGCCCCTGGGTGTGTCCCTTTGTGCTCCCAGTGCTTCTGGTCTGCTTTGGCTGGGAAACTTGTCCATCATGCACTCTGGGGCTGTTTCCTGTCATTCCAATGCACAGCCCTTTCCTGCTGCTTGTCATATAAATACTCGGGCTATTTTATCAGGTAACTTACATCTTGCGCTTGATGACATTAAATTGTGTTAATCAGACTCTGTCATATCACGAGTTTCTGGAACACATTTTCAAGCCTTCCAGCTACAGCCCAAGGGAAGCTGTTTCTGTCTTGCATCACAGAAGTGGCAGGTTTTTTGCAAAGACAGCCCTTTACAAAGGACTTCTTGCCTGCATCAACATCCAAGGAGCTGCTTTCAAAGACAGACAAAAAATCCACGAGGAAACAGCAAACCAAGTAAACATATTATTTTTAGCTCTCGCTTTTAATATTTTCTAAGCTGGCCTCCTTTTCCACTGCAGTGTTTTTTCTTTGGACAGAAGAACAGCCTTACCAGATGACGTGACTTAACAAGGAAAACAGAACTTACACACAGTGGATAGATACAGCTAAACATGCAGAGCCCCATTATCACAGATATCATCATTTATTTTCTGTTTATTTTTGTGTCAGATTGTTTTCAGAAGGGTGAGAACAGTATCTCAGAACCTATGGCTAGTTGGGTGCCATAGCCACTTCTTATTTGTCCCTTCTTATTACCTGTCTTTCTGTAGTTCCTCTGCCCATTTGTTGCTCTTGGATCTCTGCCTCCTTCACCTGATTTTTATCTTTTTCTGGATTTGTGGGGCTTTTTGTGTTGGTTCTTTTCTTTTCTTGGTGTGGCAGCGTTCGTCAGGGGAGACAAAGAGTTACATTGTCCCACCCCAAACCCCTTGTGAAGGGCGGCCCAGGTGCTCTGATTTGGTTTTAGTCCCTGGGGGGTTCTCCCTTGCTGTGCTTCTACTGCTCCCTGACCCTGAACTCCACCCTCAAGGGTGGAGACCCTCGGGGGTTCTGTCCCTCAAAAACCATGCTGAATAAATGGTTTTGTGAACCGGGAGCCCGTCTTGGTGTTTCATGCTGGTCCCCAGAATCCTGCTGCTTCCCTGGACAAGATCCTGAGGTTGCTGACTGCAACATCTTGGTGGTTGTTTTGTTTGTCTGTTTTGTGTGGTCAGAGTTTTGGTTTTGTTCTTTGGTTTGGTCTTTTCCCACTTAACAGTCAGAATCAGCTTGTGATTTGTATTGTAAAGTCTTGAAGCACAGGTGTTGCACATAAAGGTTGGTTTTGTTTTTGAAGTCATCTCAGACACAGATCTGCAAGCTCCCGTGACGTTGTGGATTGTGTGCTCTCAGACAGCAAATTGTGAACAAATAGGAAACTTGTAGTTCCTATCTCCATTACACACAGCAAAATGTAAAGGGCTTGGAACAGGACCAATTCTAGCCTTTATTCTGCTGCCATGCCATAAAACGGTGTCGGATTTATCAGTGAACTCTCTTCTTCCACGATGGGCTGTGCAAGGATGATCCCTTAGCTCCTGTGTGGATGTGCTGTGCAGAAGGCCAGACACACGACTGTCATCCATAGCCAGCCTCTGTCTGCAAAGAGAACAGGGAGCTGCAGCTCTGAGGGGCTCAGGGGTTAGTGAGCAAACAGACCAAATCCCTAATTTATATCAGTTACTTTACAGGAGTGTTTGTTGCTGTTATAGTTTTAAATTTCAGCCCAGAGCTGGAAAAATAGAACCCTGGTAGTTTTCATAAGCTATGAAGTGAAGAGATTCTTTCCTGCTCCTTGTTTGAATTAAAAGCAGAGCAAAACTCTTCTGTGGGTCACATCAAACCAACATAAGTTTGAACAGTCTGTGAAAGACAGAAGAGTGTAAAAAATATTTCATTTTATAGTACTTACAGTCCTGTAATTCAGCCACGGGATAATAACAAACTATATCAAATAACTGGAGGAAGAACTGGAAAAGAAGATTTTTAAAACTTGGTTTAAAATAAGTGAATTAATTTCATACACAAAGCCATGTAGTAAAAATACAGTCATTTAAACTTGTCAAAGCCTAATAAGATAATGGAGCCCTGCAGCCTAGTCACTTGTAGTGTAGCCTCAGCTTCCCCTTTGAGCCCAAATCTGCTAAGGGTCAGGGCTGGGATGAGCTTTCACCCCAAACTGGCTCCAAGACTGATTGGGAGTCAGTCCAGAACAGGGCTCACACAAAGAGCAAAGTCTCAAGGCCAAAGCCAAGTCTTCATCAGGCTGGATTGGTTTTAACACTGAATTATAGCAAATTTGCTTGTCCGGTAACATCACTGTTACCATGAAACTTTACATGACCTCTGAAATAACCTCTGTCCGATCATGAAATGCATTGCCAAATATTGTGAACTTGCTTTGCCTCTGCCTGCTGCTCCTGGGGCTGCTCTTGGCCAGGCAGCCTCCGTGGGAGCCAGCATGAGCTGCAGCACGAGCAGACTCCCCAGGACAAGGCCCAGCAATTAGGAGGCCAATGAAAGGCCTGGGCAGCAGCAGAACTCTCAGGAGAGTTATTTGGAAACCAAGGACTAGCCACAAGCGCACAGCAGCACTGACTGTACGTCAGGCTACCAGTGCTATAAGCAGAGTTTTAGGAAAACTGGAGAAAAATCAACAAATTACCGTCTGATCTCGTAGACTTTCTGGATCCCAAAATAGCAGAATATAAGCACAAGTGGCACTGTGATCAGTGTCACTACAGTGCCTATCATGCAGGACCTGCGGATGTCTTGCGGGCAGACAATTCTTGGCAGGCGCACGGGATCCTCGACATACACTCCAGTTTCTGAGATAACATCTGTGGGAGAAATGGGCAGCATTGAGCCTATGCTGTACTCCACTGCTGAGCTGTCAGCACGCAGCATACGGCCAGGACGTTCTCTGTTTCCCCCAGGGCTGGGGCCTACAGGCACCTTGCTGCCCCTTGGCACAGGCTGTGCCACCCAACAGAGCCCAGAAGGCCGGGAGCAGAACCCCGGGGACAGCGCAGCCACTTGGGCAGTGGTTCCTTCCAGGGACACGGGCCAAAGCCATCCCTGAGCAGCCACAGCCACCCCTGACCCTCCCTTCCACTTGACAGCTCCCCTAGCCCAAGGGGACAGAGCCAGGCCCTGTCAGGACACACTGGAGCCTTGGCCTCCTCCTCTGCCCTTTCCCCACCATGGACACCCAATGCAGCCGCTCCCAGGTTTCGAGACGTGTCTCGTACGGAGGGGCCCCAGCAGGATTGCTCAGCCTGGCTGAACCTGGCACAGCAATATACCTTCCGTGGCACTGTCTGCTATCTCCTCCCTTTCTGTAGAGGCATCTGGAATGAAGCTGTTGCATTCTGCAGGAAGTTCTGCCTTCTGCAAAGACTTTTGGTCCATCTCTGGAGAAAGGAAGAGGCACAGCTGAATCAGATGGATCTACTGCCCATCGGGGAGGTGGCTTCTTCAGGGAGTAATACTTGTCAAAGACATATCCATGTCTTGGTCATGATTGCTTGATCAGGAAAAGTCCACAGCTCTTTGGGCACACACAAGACTCTCCCTCCTCCTGAAGCTGCCCCTCTTGATTTACCCTGAGACTGGGAAATTGCAGAAGATCTCTGGGTGTGCATGGCCAAGGTGCAGTTAGGGCTCCCTGACAGCTGATGCCAAATGCCTTCCTGCAGAGGCTGGGGAGAAGCTGCAGCCAGGCCAGGCTGGGGAAACAGCCCCGCAGGCCATGAAAGCAGCAGCAGGGCAGCCAGGCTGACATGGATCCCTTCCTGCTGTGCCAGGCACAGCATGTCCTGATGTACAGAGAAAGCCCCTGGCTGATGAGGAAAATGCACCCACCACGACGTCTGTCCCGATCACTCAGCCTCACATCCATGTGTTTCGATGTCTCCAGGGACTTGATACCTTCTGTAGGTTTGTTCCTCCCTCTAGGAGGACCTTAACAGAAAGTATTTCTATTTCAGATGAATGTGTCCCACAAACCAGGGCTCAGCCTGTGGGCTCAGCAGGGACACACTACTCACCCCTGCGATGGGAGCTGAGCTTGCTTTCAGGAATCAGGAAAGGAGCTGAATAAGTCCTCTCTGCAGACACACCTGTAACTCAACAGCCACAGAAGCTTCTGTCACCTGTTTCTTGACAGGTTGTTAATGATTATGCTCTGAGCAGAAGTTGAGAACTTACCTGCAGAACCTCCTAATGGTTCCAAGCCATCTTCCATCCCAGCTGCTGGAGAAGCTGTCTCAGCACCCTCATCTAGAAGGGAGCACAGATCAGAACCATTCCAATGTGTGCTGAGATCGACTTCTGCCCTTGGGATCTGGGCACTGCAAGGGGTTTGGGTAATGCTGTGGGAGCCAGATGTCAATGGACATGGCCAAAGCTGCAGAGGGCTCTAGGGAGCTCTGGGCTGCCTCCTGGTCACTCTAAACATCCTTTCCATGATCTGTGCAACATCCCTGAAGGGCAGGCACTGCCAAGCAGCAGAGATGGCAGCTCAAGCCTCAGCAGGGCTCAGGCCCAGGGGCACAGCAATTACCTCCTGGGACTGTGCCTGGCATGGCCTCCCTTCCTGCAGCAGACGCTGCCCATGGTCCCGTGTTTCCTTCGGGAAACACCGCCTTCAGCAAAGCCATTTTCTTCAACTCTGGGGAATGGAAGAGGCACAGCTGTGTTAGACAGAACTGTTCTCCTTCCGGCGAGGTGACATCATCATGAGGCAATAATGGTCAAAATCATGGATAAAGATTAGGAAATCATATCAAAGTTTGGGATTAGCCAGGACCTTTCCTCCTCCAAACAGCCCCTACACCTGAACTACCCCAAGACCAGGAAATTTCAGGGGGTGTCAGGGTGTGCATGGCCCGTGCTGCTGTTTGGGCTCCCTGTCAGCTGATGCCAAATGCCTTCCTGCAGAGGCTGGGGAGAAGCTGTAGCCAGGCCAGGCCGGGGAACAGCCCTGCAGGCCGTGAAAGCAGCAGTGGGGCAGCCAGGCTGCTTTGGATCCCTTCTCACAGTGCCGGGAACAGCAAATCCAGATGTGCAGAGAAATCCCCTGACTGCTGATGGAATTGCACCCACCACGACGTCTCTTCAGATCATTCAACATCCTGTCCAGAACTTGGGATGCCTCCAGGGATTTCTGGTCTTCTTTGTCTTGGTTTGTCCATGTAGGAGGACCTGAATGGAAAGCAGTTCCATTTCTCCTTCAGTCCTGAGGGGCTGGGAGTACATCTGGGTGACTGCTGCCCTCCAAAGCACTCCCTCATATCTGCCTTCCCCTCAGGAGCAGGGGCAGGGGGACCACATTCCTGGAGTGGCCCCACACAGGGATGGAAGGAGCCCCTTGCATGGCAGTCAGGGGAGAATGGTCTCCCTTGTGCTGCCAGCAGCTCTGAAGTGAAACCCAGGCAGGGCCAGGGCTTGACAGCGACAGCGGGAGCAGCTCAGGTTCCCTGGGGCTGGCAAAGGAGCCACACAAGGCACAGCCCCAGGGCACAGCCCTGGCCCCTTCCCTCTTGCTCTTCTCTGTGGCTGCACAGAGCACATGGAAGGAGACACTGGCATTGCACATGGGAAGGAGATTGACAGCTAAATGCTCCTTCCTCCCACTGACAGTGATGCTGTGGGATCACTCAGGGCTCCAGAAGGGAACAGAGTGTGGTTTCCACAATCCATCAACCTTCAGACTCTTAAGGGAAATGGCACATGAGTGAGCTCTTGCCACATTGACACTGATTATTTTGTGTGGAAAGGGACATTGAGAACTTGCCTCCAGCATCTGGAATGGTCTTCAAACCACCATTTACCATCTTTTTTATATACTCCATGTCACGGTCCCAATCTAGAAGAGAGCACAGATCAGAACCATTCCATGGTGTGCTGGGATCCCCTTCTTCCTTAGGGAACTGGGCAATGCAAGCAGGTTGGGTAAGGCCAAGGGAGCCACATGTCAATGGACATGGCCAAAGCTGGAGAGGGGCCCAGGGAACTCTGGCTGGCTCTGATCTCTCTCCCCCCTCTTTGCAGGCCCTGTGCAACATCCCTGGTCAGGCCTCAAGAGGACCAGCCCGGGGCCCCTGGGGACTTTCTCCCTCCCACAGAGGAAACCTTCCATAAAGCCCTGGGGAAAACCATCCCAAACATTTCTGAGGGAGAAGGGAGCACCGTCCCAGGAAAGGGGAACCAGGCTGCCTGCTCACCTGCTCTCCATGCTCGCTGTGGAGCAGCCTGGGCAGCCCTGTCAGGCAGGGCCGCTGCCAGGAGGAGCAGGAGGAAGAGGCGCAGAGCAAGGGCCATGATGCCTTGCTCTCTGCCAGTCCTGCAGCTCTTGCTGCCACCACTGTCCTGACGCCGCTGTTCAAATGTCAGCACCACTGTCGCCGCCGCCGCTGCCGTCGCCGCTGCTGCTGCAACAGTCGTAGTCAAGGACTGACTGCTTGGTCCTTGTGGTGTTGTGCAAGAACAGGGCTCTGGGACCTCTGTGACCTCAGAGCCAGCTGTCACCTCAGCCTGCTATGACCCCAGTGCCTGCTGTGACCTTATGGCCAGGATGGAATTGTGTGGGAAGTGGGATCTGCCTCCTCCAGTAGGCAGCTCATCCTGCCCAGCAGCTCTGTCCAAGGGCTATGACATGGTCCCAGCCCAGCTGATCTCACAGGCTGGGGATGAAGGGATGGAGAGCAGCCCTGCTGGGAAGGACTTGAGGCTGCTGCTAGATGAGAGGCTGGGCATGAGCCAGCCATGTGCCTCCAAAGGAGGGTGCCCAGCAGCTTGAAGGATGAGATTCCATCACCCTTCTGCTCTGCTGTGAGCCCTCCTGGAGTACTGCATCCACCTCTGGGTGCCCAGCACAGGAAGGACATGGTCATGTTGGAGCTAATCCAGAGGAGGGACAAAATGGTCTGAGGGCTGGATCTCCTCTGCTTTGGAGACAGGCTGGGATAGCTGGGGGTGTTCGGCCTGGAAGAGGGAAGATTCCACAGAGACCTGATTGCTACCTTTCAGAACCTTAAGAAAGCTTGTAAAAAAAACGGGACAGATTTTTTAGTAGGGCCTGTTGTGAAAAGACTCAGGAGGAATGTTTTTAATCTAAAAGGTGGTAGATTCAGCCTAGACATAGACACTGTGGGTTTTAAAAGCCTGGCACAGGTTGCTCCTGTGGTGGGCATCCATCCCTGCTGACATTCAAGCTCATGCTCTGAGCAACCTGATCTAAAGGTGTCCCTGCTCACTGCAGGGCATTGGACTAGATGGCCTTTAAATGTCCCTTGCAAGCCAAGCCCTTCTGTGCTCCTGTGCAAAGCAGTGCTGGAATGATCCTGGCGTGATGATGCTGGCACCTGTGTTTGGATAGTTGTGCCATTTAGCTATTGGCCAAGAGAGGATTGATGGGTTTGACAGTGAAGTCTGCAAAGAATAGTGTGCTCAAGGAGAAACAGGCGAGGAACATTGTTGATATATTTTATATTTTAGTAAAGGCCTGTATGCACAAACCAGCCTTTGAAATAAGTCATGATATTAAAGGCTAAAGTCCTGGAAACCTTCCTGCAGAAGAGAGAGTAAAGCAAAACAATATCCTTGTGTGTAGGAGAAACAATATAAACCTGTGTTGTTAGCCAATAGTAGCTTGCTTTGCCCGCAGACCCTGTAGAACCCTATAAAAGGTGTGCTAAAGATAGAAATAAACAGCGTTCACGATTACTTCTGTGAAGACTGATGAATAGCTGGTGGAGCTCTCAATAGAACATGGCTTCCAGTTCAGATAAATGCCAGCATTTTGCTGCCCATTCCTTGTTAAGCAATAAAGGAATGTCCTGAAGATCCCTTCAAAGTGGGTGCACTATTGGCTCTATCAGTACTTGTGTTCTGTCAAACACCTAAGTTGTTACAGCTTCTTGCCTCATTTACCACTGAATAAAACCCAAATACTGCATTGCTCCATGTCTGCTTTCTTCCAAGTAATGGCAGATTTTGTTCATTCTGGAGTGGGACATAATCATCTATTGACTAGCAAATTCTCCTTGCCATTCACACTGAAGCATAAACTTTGAAGAATTTGAGATACTAGAAATGCCATTCACACTGAAGCATAAACTTTGAAGAATTTGAGATACTAGAAAAGCTAAGGCCTTAATTAAAATTAATTTTTGTTAAATCTAATGAAAGAAATTATCCTTGTTAAATTGAATAGATTTAGGAGCTAATCATTAGCCAATAACTAACTGTCAACTCTATGTTTGTTCAGCTGGGCTTTTAATGGGAAACGTGAAATCTTGTAAGGAACTTCAAGAACATAAGACAATTGCAAATCAGAAACCACTTGGAAACATGAAACTAGGAACATGCCCAGGGGTTCCTTTGCCACTTTGTATTGAAAAGGTAGAAAGGTCAGAATGAGGAAGAGCCGTATCCCTTCCTCCCTTGTGTGAATTAAGGGGTGACCCTGCACATCAGCCCAGCGCTGACAATAAACATACATTTTTTAACCCAAATCAGTTAAAGAGTCTTGGTCCATTATAGTTGGATACTGATACAAGATCATATCCATATTTTGGTAAATCAGCACAATGTTGATTTGCTCTAATTAAGACCTACCTCTCACTGTAATTAAGGCTGATGGATTGCGAGGCAAAGTGTTGCACAATTTGCCCTAGAGAGAGTTTCTCTCTGTTTAAATGACATTTGAAGATAGGTGTAGCCTACCATACTTCTGGCATACGAGAAATGAAAAAACAGCCTTTGAAATAGGATTTTATCCTTCCTTCCTCCTCTTTTACCCTACAAGTTGAGTCTCTGAAGTCTGAGCTGTTCAGCTGCTTCACCAACATTGTTTTAATTCACACAGGCATCCATGCAGTGAGCAACAAATCAGGACTGTGGCTGTGAAGCTTGAAGCAATGTAGGTTTAGAGCACCAAAAATAATAATCCATTACCCAGGTTAAGCCAAGCATTTCCCAAATAACTACCTATCCTCAGGGAAGTTTCCAAAAGTTTCATAGTAAAACCTGGGAGCAGGGAGAGAATGTCAACAAAACTAAGAATACAGCTCTCTGAGATATTTATATTCCTATAAAAACAGAGTCAAAATTGTTTATGTATGGAATATTAACTAAGAAGTGAAGAGCAGATAGTCAAAATAACTGCTTGGGGAACAAAAAAACCCAAAATAATACTACATTTACATGGGGATTTCTAAAAAACAAACATAGTAAGAGAAAAAGCAGACCTACCAAAATTAAAACAAATAAGGCTGTTTCATCTGTCTCAATACAAAAAAAAAAATCATTGGAAAGAATCAGATCCCCAAGATTGTTACTATATACAGGACCCTCCAGGTAGTGGGAATAAACAAAGGAAACTGTGGTGTGTAATCCACAGATGTAATCTGGAATTTATTGCTGGATTTCTTGCAAAATTTCTGAAAATTTCTGACTGGAAAAGCATAGGGGCTTCTCAGACCATGTCTGGGCATTTACAGCAACCTGGCAGATGTTTTTGGGACCAATTGCAGAAAAAAAACAGCAGCACACAATTATTGGAACAATCTGTTCCCTGACTGTAGACTTTTGGACAGGTTTCTTTCCCCTTGGGCTGGGGGAGCTGTCACGGGGAAGGGAGGGTCAGGGGTGGCTGTGGCTGCTCAGGGATGGCTTTGGCCCATGTCCCTGGAAGGAGCCACTGCCCAAGCGGCAGCGCTGTCCACGGGCTCTGCTCCCGTCCTTCTGGGCTCTGTTGGGTGGCACAGCCTGTGCCAAGGGGCAGCAAGGTGCCTGTAGGCCCCAGCTCAGGGGCAAACAGAGAACGTCCTGGCCGTATCTAGCGTGCTGCCAGCTCAGCAGTGGAGCACAGCTTGGGCTCAACACTGCCCATTGTTCCCACAGATGCAGGCGGCACCACAACACGTGTTCCTAACTCCCAGAAGGGCATCATAAGGGGTTGCTGTTGCGAAACACTCTGCTTGTTTATGATAAGGGTAAGTTTGGAAATAATTTGGAAGTTCTCAACTAAACCTCAACTGAGAGATTCCCAAATCAGCTCTTCTGTTCCAATAAAGAGACAGAGCTGTCACCCAGTGTCCGGCTGGTACCATCAGTAAAGCCCACATGCCACAGCCCTGGCTGATCTCCATGTCCTGGAGCAGCCGGGGCTGACCACGGTGTGGGCAGGCAGGAGCCAGGCAGGGGCTGCCATGAACAGCGGCTGGGCCCTAAGGGGCTGGGGAAGCCCATGATGAGAGTCCCTGGGCTGAGGGCACATTTCCTTCAGTGGCATCACCTGGGCCTGCACCTCCTCCAGTGACATGCCCAGGAAAAGAGGAAAGCCATCACTAAGTGCTTGCCTTGAAAGAAATGGAATGAGGCTGGACTGTGCACCAAAGGAAGTCCTTCATAGCCTGAGAGATGAGCTCAGAGCCTGACAGACACTGGGCCTGTGGCACCACAGGATCTGTTAAGAGCAGAGTGGAGATTTGCCCCCCACGCCTCATCTGTTCACTCAGGGACACATGGTGAACACACACACCATGAGACACATTCTTCACACAGAGAATATGGCTCAGCCCTGTTGCTGCTTCCTGAATGTCACCTTTGGGTCCCTCTAAAGGCATGCAGGGGGTTTGGGTCCCCTCTCTGCTGTGCAGGGGGCTGGGGACACCCTTAGTTGTGCAGGGCATTTGGAATATCTCCAGGGGTGTGCAGGGGCTCAGGGACACCAGTATGCTGAGCAGGGCTCTGGGATTACTCGTGAGGCCCACAGGGAGATTTTAGGGTGGGTGAGAACACCCACAAATTGTGCAGGGGGTTTGGGTCTCCGCTAGAGCATGCAGCTACCCTGATGGCCTGTGTTGCATTATTTTTGTCAATTATGGCTTCAAGTCATTCACTTCTTAAATACAAGCCAAAGGCCAGCACAGCTCACTGTAGGGGACAGTGAGGCAGCCAACAATACACCCATCTTTCCTTGGAGGGACTATTTAGGATAGAGTTTGCCACTCTCCTTAGGGGAGAAACCTCAGCAGGCAACCTTTGCAGGCATACGGACACAAAAAGCCACCTGTCCAGCATCCTTTTCAGTTCATGTTAATTCTGTGGTTCTTATTGGTTGTTCCCTTGTACATACCCTGACCTGCAGGAGATAAAAGGTTAATTCTCTGGAAGCCCAGCAGCATTCCTACAGGATTTCTTGAAGGAAAGAGCTGAATTAAAAAGCCCTCCAAGGAGAGTAGATAACAAGCTCCATCTCTCTTTCTTCCACATCGCTGAGAGCGGACTTTCACTCAGACTTTTTAAAGGCGAAAGCTGAAATCACTATAGCAGCTGACAGGTGCTATAACACTGGCACTCCACTCCACCACCACCCCAGCTGGTCATAGCTCACAGCACAGACTCTGTCTGCTTACAAGAGCTGGTGCAGCCTGCATTAGTGGGAATCACCAATATGAGTTGAATTTTGGACATGACATACCTATTGCAGGAAGAACCATGAAATGTCTCACTTCTCCAGTGTCATATA